GTGCTGCTCTTTTTCATTTCTTTTCAGTCCTGTGGTTGGTGGTGTGCTGCTGCCTTTGAGGCTGCCCGAGGGGCACAGATGCCCTAGGTCTTAAGTGTCACCTGCGTCTCTAATTGCCTTCCAGTGGCTAAATGTCCAGATGTCCTGGAGTCTACATGTAAACGTGTCCAGAGACGAACTACTTTGTCGGCTGACAGCTAACCGTAACGGGCATTCAGCTTCAATTCTCCGCAGTTTAAAGTTGCTTTCTAGATTTCTCCTTGAAAATGCAGCTGTAAGGGAAGAGAAAGCGAACAGCCTGCAGACCAGGGGTTCCTCATGTCTCCCTGGGCCCCTGCTGTACCGGCTGGTTTGTAATTGCTGGACTCCGCTCGACTGATTAGTCTTGTTTCGACCGTCTCACTGGAAGCCCTGCCCTGTCTTTCGTCCTCCCACTCGCCATTAACCTCTCCAAGGCACATCGGCTTCTGCTCCTCCATGGCTCAGTGGCTAACCGCGCAGCTTCGTTTGAGACCGAGAGGCTGGGAGAGTGCCGTCAGGCCTCCTGGGAAGGGAGCATGTCGCTCGGATCTCCCGGCTCGCAGCGATAGGTTCTGCTGCCCTGGGTCTAGCATGGCGGGGCGCGGGTGCCCTGGTGTTGTCTTGTCTGGTTCCGGAGAGAGTTGTGCGCGTCTGTGTGGCCTGGGGAGGATCTGCCTCTCAGCGTGTGGTCTGGGCTTGGCCCAGCCGTCATAGGTGTGTGTCAGGTGCAGAAGTGGAAAAGCTCCCGGAGTCGGGTTTTAATGGGTTGTTTTTGGCTGCCTGTGATCACGTGCGCTGCCTAGGCACAGCAGAGCTTTAAACAGAACTGTCATATTTCTGGACAGAAGTGGGGATCCGTTTATTTTTAACTTCATTGACGTTTTTTACTATCCTGAATTCCCATGTGGCATTTTAAAATATCACACACAATCGTCCTAGACTGCTCGGCCTTTTAAGCTATTCATTTTTTAGTCATTTTTAAAGCCTTGTTTGCGACTGAATGTTTTTGAATTTTATTTATGGATACTATTTATAGGATTAATGCATTTCGCATCCCAAGTTGCTAATGTATGGTGCTGGTGGAGATTAGTGTCTGAATTATTATTTTGCATTTCTATGCAAAGGTTTTTGTTTCTTTATGTTTTAGAGTGACTAATAAAAATTTACTTGTATGGTTTGCTAGTATTACTTCAATGCTGTTTTCCCAGTTACTGTGCACCTGCAAAATCATATTCTTAACACGTTTTATTTCAGTATTTCACTGTGCAAAAAGAACATTAAAACCAGGTAAATAAGACGAATGTTTTGAGAGCTAAGGTTTGCTTAGCTTGGTCAGAAACGCTGACAGGCGCAGTATTGGCCGTTTCGAGTACAAGATTAACTTGCCGACTTCAAGGCATTCAATAAAAAGTTCTGCAATTCTGGGATTTCCTTAGAAAAAAAGTTAAGTCATTTTCGAGACGTGGAACAGATGTTGCACTGAGCTTGGAAATACACACAAGCTAATAAGACTCAAAAAATGGCTACAAACAAGAGGGTACCATTCAGTCTGACTGACCCATTTGGTAGTCAGTAGCTCACTGATCAGCCGATCTCATGCAGCCAGTTCTTGAAAGAAGCCAGGGCGTCAGCTTCAACAACATGGCTGGGAAGCTTGTCCCACACTCCCGGTTGCCTTAAAGAGGTGCTTCCTGTTCCTGCTGTAGTTTGAAGGTAGCTCCCACTCGATAAGAAGTGTTTCTCGTACAGCGAGAAGTGATCTGGGTCAGGTGACGGCAAGGTGCGTCAGCTCCCCCTGCCTTGAGTGGGTCCTGCCGCAGAGCGGGCATGTTGAAACCTGACATTGTCGTCAGCGCGCCAGGGCAGTGTAGGTGTGTGTGGGAGATAAGCATGCTTTCTACCCTAGAAAAAACGTTTCGGTACTTTTGTTTTGTTGTTGCTGCATTGTTTTTAACTTGCCTCCGTTGCAGTAACGTCTTATAAAACTATATAAAATAAATAAAGAGGCTTATTTAAGTAATTTAAAATTTAGTTTGACATTCTATAGTACAGATTAGAATATTTTTGTTGTATCTTAAGGGACACATTTGAGATTTTAAATGGATTTCCTTAAAGCAGCCTTAGAATACTCTTTCACTGCTGCTCGGGTTGTCATGCTTGACTTAAAATATGCAAAGGGGGATCTAGCCTGAAAGAGTATGCATACATTTTTACTCCCTGCAGATTGATTTGCACAAAAAATGGTTTTTAACCTCCTACCTGCATCAGCCAGAGTTGTGTGCTGCTGGTGCATATGGTGGCTTGGATTTGGAAAAAACTGTTAGACCCTGGTGTACTGTACTGCTGAAACATGTCTGTAGGGCTGATGTTTCCTCGTTCTCAGTTTTTATCACTATCATAAAACAGAACTGAAGCGATCCCGCACAAGGGTCATCTGTGTACCTAACAGGTGGAGCTCAGTGAAGATGTGAAGTCATTTTGTGTCTTATCGTTAGTATTAATTTTGTTCTTGGATAAATGCTACCTTCTAACGCTACGCTTGTAGGCAGTGAGAAATTAAAGCACTGCAGGTATTTTTTTCATTTCAGGGAGCATTGAAATTGCCTGTTTAAGAAGAGATCTTCATTGCTGCACTGTGTTCCCAGCAAAAAAAAAACAAGAACCTGCTGTTCTGTTCTTTTTGTCCTTTTTGTAGTCAAGTGGTGTTTGTGTAGAGCCAGTTGCAGTATTTGTTTTGACCATTCTGCTGAAGTAAAGCAGCACTATTCATAAATCTCACTATGGTTACCTGGGACTAACTGTAGATTACTGGTGGTTATAGCTCTTCTGCAGAGTGTTATTTTATTGTGCTGTTTTTCTTTTTGAATATCTGGCCCTTTCTGTTGACTCAGTTTAGATGATGGACGCTTTTGACTGAACCCGTCGCTACATGTACTTGCCTGAAGAAACAGCAAAAGAGCTTTGTCTACTACAGGCCAAACAAGTTCAATGTGTTTGTTAGGCAGCAGATCAGTAGAATTGATTTGTGACAGCAGTGTTAGAATCAGCTTCTAAATAGGCATTTTTTTCATTCGCTCTTAAAGTATTCCGCTCTCTTCATTGATGCCCCTGAAGTATTAACATTATTTTTTTAAATTGTGCTCCTGTATATTTTTTTCCTCCTGGTCCAGGGCATGTTTTGTCATGAATTGCTTCCAGAACACAATATATTTTTATCATAAGAGTATGCGGAGGATTCTGAATAGCCCTTCTAATGTAGAAACTAAGATCAGACAGTGGCTGAAAATTAGGAGCCTAGGTTATAAAGTGAGTGATTTAAAGCATTTGTGATGTGATCCATGTATATGCATGCACTTGCATATTAATATTCTGCAGGGATACTGTAGCTGTGTTTATACACGGGGAGCTTGATCACCAGAGGACTACCAGTAGAGCTCCTAGAGAGAACTGTAGTCCTAAGGAGACTCGAAACCTCACACAGTAATTTAGTGAATATTCATTACACATCCCAATCCCATGACATGAGCACGAGTGTTAATCCCTCCTGCAGGCATCAGTGAGCAACAACTGAACCACAAGGGTTCCAGATGTGATATCAGGAGACTACGGGCCTTTAGGTTAGGGGATTTACAGGGTTGTACTGTAAACTGTGATTTAAACTACTGTACATGTTTCATACAAAGAGCAAATAAACAAAAAGACTTGAACAATGATGGTGGGTGAAGCCAAAATGAGAATAAGCATTTTCTGTACAAGATTTTGGTTTTGTGTGTCCAGGGTAAGGGTCATAGTCTTATGACTATGAATGAGTCACATGTCACCTATCCCTAAATATCGGGAACTCACGCAAGCTATTGATCATTTAAGCGATCTTTTCATTCCAGGGACCTTGATTTGAGGACTGATGAATAGTCTTATATTTGTTCCAAAATTATCTGTCCATTTCAAGAAATCACTCACTCATTTGATCACAGTTATGTTGTTCCAGGTCTCTAGAAATGGTTATTTATAAGACCCGCTGGGGTGGGGCTCTCTTGGAGAAAAGGCTGGAGATGCTCCTGATCTGGGATATGGTTTTCTGTTTTTTATTTGGGGGGGGGGGTGTCTAAAAATTTGCAAAGCACTGGGTTAACTGTCAAGAGTCTCTCTCCTCACTGGTTTCAGTAGGTATTTGGCATGGGGTGCAAATCCCTGAAGCATACTTAAAAGAAATCAGCTGAAAAAGCTGCGAGTTGAGAAATAATGAAGAAAACAATGCAAAGTACTTAGGGGTCGCTTGGCCACGTTCATCCCATGGCTTCGGAATTCGAAGTGCTGCCCTGATTCTGCAGCTGAGCTCTGGAAAGGCTCCAAGTTTCGAGTGTGATGGTGCTCGACAGTCCTCAGGAAATCAGTTTGACTGCGCCGGGGCGGTGCAGCGGGGCTGGCCCGTCTTAGCTCCTGGCGATGTTCACTTGATCGCGCTGCACTGCCGGACAGCTCCCCGAGCCTGGAACCCAGAAAGCCTGTGGCCGGCTTCTCGGCTGCTGTCACATCATCGCTGCACAGCCAAACCAACCCAACCACCGTTTTTTATTTTTTATTTTAATCGGAACCCTCTAGTCCTAATTACAGTGAAGGCTGACATTCTCAATTACCTGCGAAGCTTATTAAAGAAGCCTATAAAAACGAGGCAGCTTTTCTGCTGTTTGCACCACTGTAGAAGCCAGTCGATGGAAGAAAGAGCAGGGCAAGGATGCTGGTCCCGTTGAAACCCCCCGGGTTTCGGTATCGGTCTTGATCGCTGTGATTTTGTTTCCGGACGGTAAGTCAGGCTTCGGGATCTGGTGAGAGGAGTGGAGCATCTGGTGGCTCGGGTCTGTTTTCCGTTGCTTTGTTTTGCAGCTGGATCCCCGAACCCGATGAAGAACTGTTATCCAGATGAAGAGCTACGCCAGGGAAACAAACTCATCTGTTGTTTTTTTTTCCCCCTCCGTTAGACTGTGCGGTGAACGTCCACAAGAGCTGTAAAAATCTATTAGCTGAGTGCAGCAGCAGTAAAGCCAAGGTTTGTCCAGCTTTGTTTTGGTCTTTCTCATTGGTGTAATTGTAAATAACTGGCCGTTTGTCTTTGTCCTTTCTTTGACATGCACACTGTACACAGATTTAGTTGGGTTGAAAACGAATCTGTTTCAAAAACTAGGCGGACCACAGCAGTCGGTCCATTTTCTTCTAATTGTAGGTGTTGTTTTGACCAGACTGGGGTTCCTGAGTGTTGGGCTGGATGCCTGCAGCACCTTTGTGAGGTTGGCTGATGTCGCGATTGAATTAGTGGGTTTTTGGAGGCCCGTTCATTTGCATAGGTGCAACAAGGCAGAAAGGAGCGATCAGGTGGTGGGGCTCCTGGAGTATTCGTTTTGTCCCGGTTGGATTTGGGAGTCAGTTGTGGAAGGAGTGAGCTTTGCCGCTGGAGAATCCTGAACCACCTGGTCCGGGGTTTTCCTGATCTCGCCACCCTGTGTGTG